AACTGAAACTATAGAAATGTTTTATATGTGTAATGTACAGTTGATTTGGAGAATAATGCGTGAGACGATTCCCATATCAAAATAATAATATTAAATAATCACATGAATTTATCAACTGCTTAATTATGGCATTCTTTCTTGTCAATAATTAATTCTAAATTACTACTATTAACTCACATCTCCGCCTGCAGCCCCTCCGTGGGCTACTACCGGTCCCAAGTCCGGATAAAGGAGGAGGGTTGAGCATGAGGTCAGCGACTCCATCCGGTAGAAACCTAAATCACTAAAAAACGCTAACCAAAAAAAATAATTCAAACCATTTAAACTCTGTCTTGGGAGTTGAAGGAAGAATTATGACGTCTCATGATGAAATCCGAGATTCTTCGGAAGTCACGAGGCCGATGCCCCCCCTCAACGGAGAGGGAACTACTATGTAGAGCAACTAAAAACGAATAAAAGAGGCAATCATTTCAAGATGTCAGGAGGTTCTGGGCCACAAGAAGCACCATCACAAGGAATGGATCACTGTTGGTACATTGTATAAAATTGAAGAAAGAAGAAACAAGAAGGCAGCAATCAATACCAGCCGAACAAGAGCAGAAAACGTCAAGGCACAAGCCGAATACACATAAGTAAACAAGCAAGTGAAGAGGAGCATCAGAACCGACAAACGTAAATATGTAGAAGATCTAGCAATGTCAGCGGAAAAGGCTGCAAGAGAAGGAAACATGAAACAATTGTATGATACAACAAAGAAACTCGCTGGAAATTACCGTAAACCAGAACGACCAGTGAAAAGCAAGGGAGGAAAAGTAATCACCAACATTGAAGAACAACGGAATAGGTGGGTAGAACACTTCAAAGAACTCTTGAATCGACCAGCTCCACTGAGCCCACCCAGCATCAAAGTAGCACCCACAGACCTCCCAATCGATGTTGGCCCACCAACAATTGAAGAGATCAGCATGGCCATCAGACAAATCAAGAGCGACAAAGCAGCGGGACCAGACAACGTTTCAACAGACACACAGAAAGCAGATGTAGCAGCAACTGCAGAGATGCTCTACATTCTCTTCAGCAACATCTGGGATGAAGAACAAGTACCAACAGACTGGAAAGAAGGACTTCTAATCAAGATACCAAAGGAAAGCGATCTCAGCAAGTGTGATAACTACAGGGGCATCACTCTTCTCTCAATACCAGGAAAATTCTTCAACAGGGCATTGCTAAACAGAATGAAGGACTCCATAGACGCCCAACTTTGAGTTCAACATGCTGGATTCCGTAAGGATCGATCGTGTACAGACTGAAACGCAACTCTACGTATCATTGTGGAACAATCAATTGAATGGAATTCATCACTCTACATCAACTTCATTGACTACGAGAAAGCGTTTGATAGCGTGGACAGGACAACACTGTGGAGACTTCTTCGACACTACGGCGTGTCTGAGAAGATAGTCAATATCATACGGAACTCCTATGATGGACTAAACTGTCAAATCGTCCACAGAGGACAACTCACCGACTCATTCTAGGTAAAGACCGGTGTCAGGCAAGGTTGCTTACTCTCACCCTTTCTCTTTCTCCTGGTGATCGACTGGATCAGGAAGACGTCAACATCTGGAGGAAAGCACGGGATACAGGCAGGGTGCAGCTGGACGACTTAGACTTCGCAGATGATCTGGCTGTTCTATCACACACGCAACAACAAATTCAGGAGAAGATGGCCAGTATAGCAGCAGCATTAACGGCAGTAGGTCTCAATATAAACAAAGGAAAAAGCAAGATTCTCCGATACAACACAACATGCACCATCGAATTACACTTGACGGAGAAACTTTGAAGGATGTGAAAACCTTTACATATATGGGCAGCATCATTGATGAACACGGTGGATCTGATACAGATGTAAGAGCGAGGATCGGCAAAGCAAGAGCAGCATATTTACAATCGAAGAACATCTGGAACTCAAAACAATTGTCAACCAACACCAAGATAAGAATTTTCCATACAAATGTCAAGACAGTTCTACTGTATGGGGCGGAAACCTGGAGAACAACGAAAGACATCATCCAGAAGATACAAGTGTTTATTAACAGTTATCTACGCAAAATACTTCGGATCCGATGGCCAGACACTATCAGACACTAATTACTGTGGGAGGGAAAAAACAGATTCCCGCGAAGGAAAATATCAGGTATAAGCGCTTGAAGTGGATTGGGCTCTCTTTGAGGAAATCACCCAAGTGCGTCGCAAGACAAGCCCTCACATGGAATCCTGAAGGCCAAAGGAGAAGAGGAAGACCAAATAACACATTAAGCCAAGAAATAGAGACAGACATGCGAAAAATAAACAAAAGTTGGATAGAACTAGAAAAGAAGGCCCATGACAGAGTGGGTTAAAGAAAGATGGTCGGCGGCCTATGCTCCATTGAGAGTAACAGGCGTAAGTAAGTAAGTACTATTAACTCATAATTGTTTCACATTGAAAACCGAGTCCATCTTTATGAACGCTTCAACTATACATAATAGTTGTCTTCTGTATCAGAAAAATTTGTTTATCGGTAAAATGTGGGCTGAATCTTAAAATTGCTCTACCTGCAGTTCCTTAATTGAACTTCTATATTTTGCAAGGTTTCAAATGTTGAAATTAGGAATTTCTGAGAAAAATATCTCTTCAATATTCAAGTGAAAAAATCCAAAGCGTCTAATTAATAATCATATTATGGTAGTTGAACTTACTCCTGTTCTTACTACCGTGTCAAGTGGATAGGAATGATAATGTTCTGTGATAACCTTTGGATAAATGACTTCTCACAATAGGCGTAGAATGTAGAGTGACCATAAACTTAAAAAAAGCACTTCAAAAATTCATAAATATTTATCTTTGACATTATTTAGTTATTCGGGTAATCTGGTAATTCTAGGGGCTTAGCATAATCTTGAGATTGAAAGTTCAGAAAGTTAAGCACTCGAAAATGAATATATACATATATATATATATATATATATATATATATATATATATATATATATATATATATATATATATATATATATATATATATATATATATATATATATATATATATATATATATATGATTAGAGGCAAAATAACCATTAAGATCCACAATTGCAAGTGGTGTATAGCATTGTAGTTGGTGAATCACTATTATTGTACAACTCAGCGATACGGAAAAAGATGATAACTCAAATGAGCGTCTTCATGGGATTATTTTCTAAAAACTGTATGGTTCAGTGATGATACAGTTCATTATAACTTTGGTAAAATCAGTGACAGTATTTATAGCCAAATAAGCCCGTACTTGGAATTCCTAATTCATATTTACATTCTTTACTGATACCGAAACGAAAACCTATTTTAATGCTTTATGTTTCGATTGCCTGATTACTTGCATCTTGACGATTAGGTAAATGAATAGAATTGCTTTGCACACTATTACCAGAAGACCAGGCAGTATCTTGAAAATTTAGTAGTATCAAAAACTAAAAGGTCTATGTATATCCATACTTATGAAATTATAAACGTGAGGATTGACTAGGTTCCACAGTCCATCCTTATCTAAAAACTTTTTAAGTGATCGACTGTAAAGTGTACATATTATTATGATATGGACAGACTGTTATATAACCATCAATATTTTATTTATTTAACCACCTGAAACTCAATATTTTAGCATGTGTGAATCGACAGTATGGAATTTAAATGTGAAGGTGCTTTATTGCAAACAGCTGATAACTTTGACGAAATAAATAATAAAGCGTAAAAATAAGATATCATTAAGATTAGTCGCAATGTTGGTCGGTTGTCATCAATTTTTCCACTCGAGACTTATTGGTCAATTAAATATAAATAGGTAATTTATCATTTGTAAAACATCTGCTTTTATGCATGCATAAATATGTCTCACTACTGCAAATTTAAACTCAATTCCAGAAGCAACGAAAACTTCCTTTAAAAATTGCGACATTCCAATAACTAGAATATTTACGCAGAAAGAATAAGGGTATCGGTTTCGTACTCGGGTGGTAAAAGTAAGTTACATTTACAACAATAAATAAATACTCGGCTGAAGAATAAGTGAGTGTGTCTTCTTCGAGCTATAAAGTGTGCTTATAAAATCTTGTACATTAGGAATGATTTATGAACTACAAAATATAAAACTTCAGTGAATTATGTTTCGTGATATTGGTCTTTTCCAATTAGCAACATACACTAGACAAATACGAATGCTGGGTAAGTTTAAGAACATTCTGGAACAAAAAATACATTAAATTCACTGAGTAATACTTGTTTGAATCTTTCCATTGATGTTTAGGACTTCAAACTAGTCAGTCTATCATTAAGAGTGGATTTAAACTTCACCCCATTGCACAAGCAAGTGGCTATCAGGACTCAGTAGCTGAGTGGATAACGTGATGGCGTTTGAAGCGAAAGGTACTAGGTTCGAGTCCCAGAGTGAACATCAACTCTGAGATGCAGGTACATCCAGCTGACGAGTCCCAAATGGGATGAAACGCGCGTCCTGGATTCCACTGCTAGCCACTATCCATTTTCGCTCACAAAAAATACATTAGTTTTAAAGTAAGAAACGGCTTTTGTTATATATAATTTACTCTCCTTTTATATCCTAAGTGGTTTTCAGTTTGACTGAAGATTATACTTCTTGTCATTACTATTCCTAAGTTTGTAGTATTCTTCTATTAAACTTACCCTTTTAGAACCTTTTGGTAAAGTCACGCATTCTTAACTCCGATCGCCATAGTTGAAAAAGTAGCTGAGATGTGATCCAATTATTTCTTATTTACATCAGCGATAGTAAATTTGTCCGAATTTCCAATCAAAGTTAATAGTCTTATTACTAACAATGGTTTAGGTCGAAATTTCTATAAAACAACATTATTATAATTATAGAATAAATTCTTGAAAAATTATACTTTAATATGTCAGACCTTAATTACAAATATAATTATTACCGGATGAAAACGATCTAACAAACATTTATTTTCCCTCTGATACTATAACTAGTATAATGACAATGAATAAATGAAACTCCTGAATTTAGTATAAAAGGATATGTATTTGTGAACATTTGTATGAAGGAGAATAACTATTCATTATGAAGGTATGTATAACATATTTTAATGTGAATTTTGTAATATACTTGCCAGGAAATAAAATTACTGTATTTTTGTCCACAAACGAAAGTTCTAACACCGGTTATGCACTTTATTGTTACAGCTCTACTTCATTTTCTTTCTGTTGGTGATATACTGTGGATTTTACAGCGAAGCAAAACCTGGCCGAGTCAAGTGCAGCGCACAATGTTGGGAAACGGGAATAAAGTGTAAGAATGACTGTAGAAACAATGCGTGTAAAAGAAATTGCCAAGATGGAGTTAGAGATTGTATACGTGACGTATGCAAAGTAAGCGAGCACGTGGATACCTATGATGAACATAAATTGCATGACTAAATGTGTTGTACTGAGAAAGTGATAAAACAAGTAGTTCATGTATAAGACGCAGTTGTGTTATCTCAATAAAACATACATACAATGACTTTTTGACTTTTAAAATATTTTCTGTGATGTTTATTTTTACCGATCTCATTATTTAACATCAACTACGAACGAAGAAACATAGTATTAGTTAACAATATTGATAGTAAAGTACGGAATACGCACAAAACCATGTCAACATTTGAAATTAGAAAATTGCAACCATATTATATAGAAGCTACACAGTCAGAAACAAGAGGAATAAAATGCTACATCTGATAATTTCGTGGAAAGTCATGACTTATGGCATTTAAAATAAGAGTATAAAATAATTATTCAAAACTAATTTAATCAGAACTGATAAGTTGGGGAGTAAAATATCTGCACTGAACTAAAAGTAAGAATTAATGTCATAAAAAAACATGAAGTCATTTGATATTTAACGATAAAAATCGCTTTTGTATGTAGTGACCGTCCAATCAAAGAATAATATAGTTCGATTGTAGTATTTATGGTGATACTAGAATAAAAATAGCATTACAGTGTTTATGAGACACATTGTCTCTCTGTAATGACCAATTGATATTATCCTCCGATGTCCGATCATTGAGTAGTTCCAGTCAATAATTCGAACTTCGTGAGAAACTGTCATCCGAGTAGATTACGAACATCAATTCACGTGATAGATAACACATTCGCACAATCAGTGTGCGAGACATAACCTTCTGATCTATAATTATAAAATAGGACATACATGTTCATCTAAGTCATCCTAATGAAAATGTTCGAACATCAGATGTACACCACTACGATTGGTAAACGAATTCGCATGCTGGTTAGTTCGGAACTGAATTCTACAAATCTATCGCAATATAGATTTATGTTTCCGTTTTTTTCTTCGCTAAGTGATTAAATATTGTGTAGCTGTAAAACAACCGTCCATATACTTCTACTTTCCACGTTAGTAAACGCAACATTAATGAATAAGCGTTTCTCGTTAGGTTTTGCTCCAATTTGAAACTTGAGTTAATCCATAGTTACTCATCACAACTGTATAATATGTATTATATCAATTATGTTCTTATTAATGTAATTATCTGTATCCTGGAAATGGAAAAATAAATAATATTACCTGAGGAGTACTTACTTTCTTACGTCTGTTACTCCTCGTTGAGGAGTATAGGCCACCCACCAGCATTCTCCATTCAATCCTGTCCTGGGCAAACCTTTCCAGTTCTTTCCAGTTAACATTCATCCTTTTCATATCTTTTTCAGCCTCCCGGCATAATTTGTTCTTTGGCCTTCCTCTTCTCCCCTTCCCTTCACCATTCCAAGTTAGAGCTTGCCTCGTGATGCAGTTCAATGATTTCCTAATGTATGTCCGATCCACTTCTAACGTCTTTTCCTAATTTCCTGTTCAGCCGGAAGCTGGTTTATCCTCTCCCATAAAACGCTGTTGCTGATGGTATCAGGCCAGTGAATGTTGAGTATTTTGCGTAAACAACTGTTTATAAATACTTGTATTTCCTTGACGATAGTTGTAGTAGTTCTCCACGTCTCAGCTCCGTACAGTAGGACTGTCTTGACGTTCGTATTGAAGATTCTCACTTTGATATTGGTTGCCAGTTGCTTTGATTTCCATATGTTCTTCAATTACGGGAATGCTGTTATTGCTTTGCCAATCCTGGCCTTTACGTCTGCATCCGATCCTTCTTGCTCATCAATGATTCTGCTCTTTGGGTATATGAAAGATTCCGATTTTTCTTGAGCTTCTCCATCAAGTGTGATTGTGTTGGTGTTCTTCGTGTTGTATTTGAGGATCTTGCTTTTTCCTTTGTGTATGTTGAGGCCTATCGATGCAGAGATTGCTACTACATATGTTGTCTTCGTTTGTATTTGTGTATGAGATAGGAGGAAGTGATCATCTGCGAAATTCTAATCATCTAATTAATTCTGAGGTGTCCATTGTATTCCGCTCTTCCTGTCAGATGTCGTCTTCATAATCCAGTCAATCACCAGAAGAAAGAGAGGGGGAGAGTAGACAGCCTTGTCTGACTCCAATCCTTACTGGAAATGCATCTGTCAGCTGTCCTCCATGCACTACTTTGCACTGTAGTCCATCGTATGAGTTCTGAATAATGTTGACGATCTTCTGAGGAACTTCAAAGTGTCGAAGAAGTTTCCATAATGTTCTCCTGTCCACACTGTCAAACACCTTCTCATAGTCATGAAGTTGGCGTATAGTGATGGGTTCCACTCAACTGATTATTCCACGATGATCCGTAGTGTCGCAATCTGGTCTGTGCACGACCGATCCTTACGGAATCTAGCCTGTTGATCTCGGAGTCGGGCGTCTACTGAATCTTTCACCCGGTCCAGCAACACCGTTGGAAACTTCCTGGTACTGACAATAGTGTGATGCCTCTGCAATTCTCACATTTGCTCAGATCTTTTTTCTTAGGTATCTTGATGAGGTATCCTTCTTTCCAGTCCGTTGGCACTTGTTCCTCCTCATAAATCCTCCTGAGTGAAGGGCGAAGCATGTTTGCTGTTACTTCGATATCTGACTTCAGTGCATCAACTGGCATACTGTCATAGATCCATTCCTTATGATGGTGCTTCTTGCAACCCAGAACCTCCTAACACGTCCAAGTTAATGCTTCTTTGATCCCTTCTCAGTTGTTCTACATAGTAGTTTTTCTTTCTTGAATAGATCTTGTAGGGCTTGGAACCTGTTTTGAGAGTTATCTTGAATTCGTTGAGTTTGTTAGTATCTCGAAGGAAGGCTGTATTGAATCTTTGTAATGCTGTTCCATCAGTTGTCCAGTGTTTCTTTAGCTTCAGTTTCATCTCGGTCACAACTAGGTGGTGATCTGAAGCTATGTCAGTTCCTCACCTGATTCTCACATCTTTCATTGTCCTTCGGAGTTTTTCGTTGATACAAATATGATCTATCTGGTTTGGTGTGGTGTGGTCCGGCGAGATCCATGTAGCTTTGTGTATGTGTTTGTGTGGAAATATTGTGCCGCCTATAACCAATTTGTTGAATGCATATAGATTTACAAATCTCGATTTTCATTTCTTTTTCCCAGTCCATGTCGTCCCATTATATCTTCATATCCTGTGTTGTCCACCCCGACTTTCGCATTTAGATCTTTCATCAGGATGGTGAGGTCCTTTCTTGAGCACTTAGCTATGGTTGATTGAAGCCTTGAGTAGAACTGATCTTTATCTTCGTCGCTGCTATCATTGGTGGGTGCATAACATTGAATAGCATTCATTGTGATCCCCTCCTTCTTTGTTTTGAATAATGCTTTTATGAACCTGGATCCATGAGATTCCTATCCTACAAATGCATCACGTGCTTCTTTGGATAGCATCAATGCAACTCCTTGCGTATGTGGGGCATTTTCTTCTTCATGGCCAGAGTACAGAAGTATCTCTCCCGTATTCAGCCTTTGTTGTCCAGCTTGTGTCCAATGAGTTTCGCCGATTCCGATTACTGCCAATTTGTATCTCTTCATTTCCATTGCTATTTGACTGGTCTTCCCGGTCTCCCACATTTCCCAGACTTTCCACGTACCTATAAAAATTGTTGCTCTGGTTTTTAGAAGGGGCATCGGCCTAGTGACTTCCGAAGAATCTCGGCTTTCATGAGGCGTCATAATTCTTCCTTCAACTCCCAAGACAGAGTTTAAATGGTTTGAATTATTTTTCCTGGTTAGCGTTTTTTAGTGAGTTAGTTTTCCATGGGATGGGGTCGCTAACCCTATGCTCAACCCTCCTCCTTTATCCGGACTTGGGACCGGCAGTAACTCTAGAAGAGCTACAGGCAGAGTTACCTGAGGAGTAGAATTTTTAAAATGCTTATTGTTATTCCTGACTTAGCAGTTATAATCGAAATCTATATGCAATATTACTCATGAATTGTTGAATAACAAGTAATTGACACCATGCAATGTAATGAGGTAGTGACGTTTTCTATAACTGTAACTCATTATATTCTCAACGTCTGACCTTTTTTGACCTTATATAAACTTGAAGTAGCATAACCTTTTTGCAAAACCTACATAAACCTTCATGTTTCAATCAAAAAACGAAGTAAAAGCAATAACGTAAAACTGTGCTGGATAATTAATATACATCAATATATTCTCCAGTTCCTTACAAACGACTTCACTGGATAAAATCATTCATCATGGGTCAACTTACATAGCTTGCGGTGTAGGTGTATATTGTTCAACTGTTTGCTCTATCTTATTCTATGGTTTTAAAACATGGTTTTTTTAAGGTAGAGAATATTGATAGACCTCAGGTTTCTGATTATAGATATCTTTGAAGCGTTGGTTGCGTTTTTTTTGGCATAAGTGAGTGAAAAATATTGACGTTATAAGATTTTACGCGAAAGTGGCGAATCATTTAATGAGATTGTTAGTCTTCATCGACGGAAATTGTTAGGATGTGTTACGCACGCCTAATTACTGCCTACCTTGACAAGCAGTGTTTGCTGGGATAAGATTGGGTTGGAGGAAGGTTAGATGAGATCAAAATGTGGCATCAGTACATGATAATAGATGCACACTACCTGGTTGGGTTGGGTGTGATTAACTCAACCGGCTGTCTGAGACTTGTTAGAAATGTCTCGTAATCATTCACAAGAGCGAAGACTCATTCATCCTTTATCCCCACCTCAATCTTGAGGTCCAATATTCATCTAAACATATCTGTACATTTTAACTTTCTGAACCCTGTTCTCAGTGCTTAGCATTTTTCATTAACATTGCAACTACATTATTGGTTTCCACATTATTGATTTCATCTTCTTGTATATATAGGTCTATATATGATACATAGTACTTTAACACAAATCTATATAAGTAGAATAAAACAGTCCAAATAAAAAGTCATAAATCAGGGAAAACATTGACAGAAAGATATCCTGATGTATTAAAAAAGATTAATCAAGTTCGAAATTTTGTCAGAATAATCTGATTTTCCATCTAGACAGTGACCTAATAAATATACCCATCCTAAAAAGCAATAATGTAGTCAAACTAAATACTATGGTACTTTTCCAACATGTTTCAGCCCAATACTTAATTTCCTAAAACAACTTTTTATCATTAATGAAATACTCTTCAATAAATTGTTGACAAAACAGAAAATAAAAACTGGCTAGTGGATTTGCTCAACTAATTTTCTAATGTTTTGCCTATGGTCTTACGAACGTGATGTTTATGTATGGATAAAGGTAGCTTCTTTCAGTGAATAGTGCATTCACTAAGAGCTACACGAATCTCTCTGATATGTTTTTTTCATTGTTACGAATCACTAACTTGAGTCAGTATCTGAATCATCTAATATACGGTAATCACAGGCTTAGAAAAGCTATTGAATAATCGCAATTTATGAAAAAGATACGTCGCTTGAAGCCACTGACAGTAGTATGGAAAATAAATGTTGCAAGTTTACATTCATAACAATTATAACATACCTGACTAATTCTCTTTTTTAAGCAGAGATTCGATGACCATTTCGTGAACTCCATCATTCATGAGTTAACATGGTCACTAGAAGACTATGATGCATTGATCATAAACGAAAGAAAATTTTTGGCCGGCTGAAGAAATCAGCATCAATAATAATCACAAAAAAAATAAACTCAAGAATCCACTTCAATATTTATCTATATTTTATCTAATATTAGGAAACTATTTTGGACTAAACATTGCATATTAACGAAGAGCTTGTAACCAATTTCGTTAGGACATTGTATGAATATGACTCTCGGAGACTATTCTTTAAAAGCAAGTGACAATTATAAATGCATTTACTTTCATTTTTCAATAATGGCTTTTGGCATTAACTTACATCCATGTAACAGACTATAAGAGAGACTTGATAAGTATATATATATATATATATATATATATATATATATATATATATATATATATATATATATATACTTATCAAGTCGATTATTTACAGAACTATTTCGCTATTAAATGTGGTTTTTATACCGGATTTCGCCACTTCCGTTGATGTATGATATTTGCAAATTGACATGAATTCTGAAACTCGTAGAAAGTTGTTTTATACAAAGAGGAACTTTGCAACTAATTTTCATCAAATAAATAAATTCAGGACTTTAGGGCTTATTCATAAACTTGTTCGATAAAACTCGATTACATTCAAAAATAAGATAATGCGACACTAAAATTACTTTAAACCGACTGATTGAGCTGAACAATACGACGTTTTCGTCTCATTGTCACTACATGTTTCTTAGAGTTCAATGGATTAACAGTAGTTTCATGTAATACTAATTATTTTTCCATTTCCAGGATACAGATAATTACATTAATAAGAACATAATTGATATAATACATATTATACAGTTGTGATGAGTAACTATGGATTAACTCAAGTTTCAAATTGGAGCAAAACCTAACGAGAAACGCTTATTCATTAATGTTGCGTTTACTAACGTGGAAAGTAGAAGTATATGGACGGTTGTTTTACAGCTACACAATATTTAATCACTTAGCGAAGAAAAAAACGGAAACATAAATCTATATTGCGATAGATTTGTAGAATTCAGTTCCGAACTAACCAGCATGCGAATTCGTTTACCAATCGTAGTGGTGTACATCTGATGTTCGAACATTTTCATTAGGATGACTTAGATGAACATGTATGTCCTATTTTATAATTATAGATCAGAAGGTTATGTCTCGCACACTGATTGTGCGAATGTGTTATCTATCACGTGAATTGATGTTCGTAATCTACTCGGATGACAGTTTCTCACGAAGTTCGAATTATTGACTGGAACTACTCAATGATCGGACATCGGAGGATAATATCAATTGGTCAACAATGAGAGTCATTCATTATATCTAATAAAAACTATTATATACAAAATACTTGACGCAGTATTAAACTGGAACAAATATCGTTTCATATGTTAATGATTAAAAGATCTGAATATTTTTGGTCATCTCACATCACATCAAAATAAAACCTTATTATCACAATCTATCTTAATCATTCGTTTAAACTGTTTGTACTGATTCTTGCCCAATGAATACTCATTGAAATATAAATCTTAATGGTTTTGAAATATATTTCTATTCTGGTGGATTTCTTTGTTAGGAAATGCCAAATAAATTTAGAGGAGTTATTGTTTTGATTTTTTTAAAAAGTCTTATTTATTACAGGTTCTTGTTAGAAAGTCATGATATTTGCAGTTTACTGATAACTGATTAAAAATTTTAAAGTGTCAAGACAATTAACATTAACCAAAAATAGATGTCGTTTAATCTTTTTGAAGAATTGTGAGACCTTACTGCCAAATACTTCTAAACATGGTCTAATGAATTTTCACGGCTATTTCGTTTCTAATTGTTTCCTACTTAATGTCATTTTTTGATGTCAACCAACAGGAGGTGGTAACAAAGATCTACAAAGCTTCATGAAACAATTACTGTGTCTTAACCGATTACTGACATCGAGATGGTTTCCTGAACTTTGATTAGTAGGTTTAAGTATGTGAGAAGTTAGCCAAATGGTCATCAACAATAGTGTGATACACTATAAGTTGACCAAAGCTGGAAATATGAACTGTCTATTTCTTTCTCGGTCATTTAAAGATAATTTGTTCAGTTTCAGATCTGAGTATCCTTATTTGGATCTCTTCTATGACAGTTTGTCCACCACTGGTGTATCACATGTTAGGTTGAAACTCAGCTCTATTTCCTCTTGTTTTACAATGGTTTTCTCAATGTTGTCAGCGTTCGACAAAACCCACTTTATAATGATAAATGAGTTTTGAGATATAATTTTTGACTGAGATTCTTTTGTCACCATTCTATTTTAGGAGCAGTAATCAGGTTTCTGATGTCGTCACCAACACTATGTCAATAAACACAGATGTCATTATTTTCAGGATGAAATATAGGGACTTTAAGATCTATCGTTTATCCATTAACACGTGTCACAAGTACCAGCTATGGTACTATGGTTTGAAAACATACTAATGAAATAGCTTAAATTAACAACTTTTCTGGCCAAAGTATTCTGATTTATTATGACATTTATTATTCTGTGTGTGTAAGGATTTCCTACACTTAAAATCCATTATGCGTCCTCAAGAAACACACAATGAGTTAATTATTATAAGTGACACATTAGCCACTATATATATGCCCTTAGGTAAGTGTTTTTGTCTAGAATTTGTTGATGTAACAGAATCCTGTATCCGTAAACCCATGATTCATGTTATTTAGTGACTTTGGACACCACCACTGACAATTATACTTTGTTTTTTGATGAAAACTCAAAAAAGGCAACAAATACTAACAAACTCTTTCTCGATTATGTGATTACATGATACTACTACTTCACTACTATTTTATTAATATGTTTCTTTATCTGTTCCTCTAAAACACTTATGCAGTAAACAGAGGTTGTAAAGTCTGATTTATCAACTTCATAATTTGAAAATGGTAGCCTTCTTACAGTCCCTACGAGCCAGTAACAACAAGTCGGTCATTGTTGTTAATAGAGCTTATTAGAGATTTCCGTTTGCCTCAGGTACTACTTGTACTGATATTACTTATTCTATCCCTTTGATATGTCCTATTAGTAGTAGGAGACTTTATTCAGTTGTTGTAGTAGGTTCAATATCAAATCCATTGAAGGTGGACCTCCTTTAACGTAATTGTTCAAGTTCTCTTACAATGTGACTCTTTTCTTGTCTAGCGAGATTTAAAAAGTAATTAGGGAAATCAGTCCTTCGCTGTCACAAAAGGCTAAGCTCGGTTTTGCTGACAGGCTGGAATCTGATTGTTCGTTTAATCTTCACTTACTATACTCCAAGTAGTGTTACGGATACGTGGTGGTTTGAGATGGACGCCCAATCAATGAGGGGATGAAAAAAAGGTATTCATATCCGTATTCAGAGTTCCGAATAGCTGACATTTAGGACTACATTTTGGATGAGATGTATCTCTGAAAATGTGTACCGAATTCACAGATTGTTTATCTTCAAGTCTGTATTCAGTGAAATAAAAACTGACAATACAAAATACAGAAATAAATAAGAATTCTAAAAGCAGCTGAGTATCTTAACACATGATTACAATAAACTCCTGGTTAACGAACACAAGATAAATTACCATGATTTTTCAGACTTTTATTCTATACAACAGTTACACTACCTCATTAAAAAATATCATAATATGTAAATAAAAGGGAACACTGTTATATTTGGAATGATTAAAGCGATAAAAGTCTCAAGAGAAAATCGATGTATGCCGGTAATGGAAGAAACCGCTCGAAGAAATGTTTTCTTTTACAATTGAGTAAACTATTAATTTCTTCGGTCACTCGGAATTAGTCTCGCGATAAATTTTATCTTTAAATAAATAAGGTTCTCCATATCTAATTTCAGATAATTTTGTACACCAACTAGTGAACTGAACTACTTTTCTCTGTTTTTTAAATAATAAGAATAACGACAAGTTCTTCGCTTTTAAACGCTCATAAATCCATTGATCACGTTTCATTTGTTTTTTATTATAATTACTTGTTGATAAAAATCGATAAGTCTTATTGCATATGATATCTGTTTCTGAGTGTTACAATAATTGACCTTTCCAGTAATTGTAAGAAAATTTATGATGACCTGTGACTCAGTGTGACCCTGAGAAATTAAATAAATACTTCACAGAAGCAAAACTTTCTTCAGTCTCAGTGAACTTCATCTGAATTCTTATTATCTAACTTCTCTGTTCATAAGAACAAATTAAATCTATAGCATATTTACTTGAAATCGTAATATTTCTAAACCTATTTTTAACTATCCTATGAACAAGCTATATTGTTCAGCTCAGATGTTGCAGCTAGGTAAGTTGAGAACAAATCTTAAATGACTATCGTAATAATCATTTTAAGAATGAATAAGATTTTAATAAGTTTTTTGTATTATGAGACATAGTATTTAGGTATTAGATTGCCGAAAAATATGTTAGAAAATCTGACAAAATGTTGCTCATCGTCGATCATAAAAGAAAAAAACTGTACATTCAGCATTTGTTGAAGATGGTTCAATCTTTTGGTTTGATCATTAGAAATTTTTTCTACATTTTACAATAGAAAAATATACATGTAGAGTATAAGGCATATAACAGCTACTTGAGTAGTTGACGTAACCCGCATCAATAGCACAGGCTTTTTTCATAATATCATTATTTATTACCACTAAAACTTTAACAACCAACATTACCTCATTGCTCCCATTAGGGTAGATATATTAGTGATCATTATTATTATTATTATTATTATTATTATTATTATATTATTATTATTATTACATTTGTTTCTGCAGAATAATGCGTTGAGTGCTTCCATAGAGTGTACTATCATACCTTGATTACTTATGCTTCAGCTAGATAATACCAAAACAATAAGAAATGTTGTGCTGATGAGGATAGTTGACATGAAACCCTTAACTCCTGTTCCATGCTATTTAAAGTTTGCTAGTAAATTTTATAAACCCTAAAAATACACATAAGATATTTACCTTACAGTTAGACCGCAGAGCTCTAGTAGATAATTTCAGATCTCAAACCTTATTTTTCCTAAAGACAACCGTCTAAAATATTGTTTTATTTATTTATCTTTCACCTCAAGATTCGAAATCGAAATACAAACCTGAATTTAACGATCAGCCACAGTCGTCCATCCCAAAGCTCCCTGAGTTGAGTTTTCAAGATGTTGAGAAATATTTTTCCGATTTGTGGTTTGAACAAATATCCATCAGTGAAGCGGTTAACAGAAGTGAATATCATACATCAAATACAGCTGAAAGAAATTGTCAAACGATCTCATCATCTGACGAACAGTTGTATAACACTGATAATCATATATTAGCGAACCAATTGTCCATATTTCCTAAAAATACCGACAGCCGTAAAATGAGCACGGTTGAAAATAGACGTAAAAGACGCTGGAAAACCATGGCACGCGCTATGATTCCTAAAACACAATATTTTTAATAGCTTTAAATAATTTCAGAAATTACAAAGTCCTAATTGTCACTCACGTCTATCACATAAAAACTAATCACAATAACTTTATTTAGATTCACAAGAATGATGTATAAATTTTTAAAAGTAACTTGATAATTTCTTGCTGAACATTGCATTTCATAAAGTTTCTAATCAATGCCTTGTTTTCCATATATCTGTCAGGTGATGTCACTTTTGGCTATCAGGTTGGATACAGAAGTTCCATAATCTATCGATGTCAGTGATTAAGAATATAAAGATTTCAATGATCAAGCCATCAACTTCAAGTTAGTATTTATCCATCACTTTAAATGAATAATAAGAAATGCTTTCCCTAAAGTATAGGGAATGTCATTCATATATGTTAACATTAGTGATCTTGGTGTAACTTGAACAAAACTGGTACTTACCACAGGAAACCGTGATTCTCACGGCCCAAGAAAGAAGACGAAGACAATAGATGAGGATTTGTTATACATCAAAAATAAATCAAAGCTATATCCTATTATATGAAGTTTTATGTATTTTCTTTACACCGATCAGTATTCAGGTTGGAATACATTAAATCGAATAGCACTTGTCACCAACGAATTAATAACTTACTTTATGAGCAGAAATTTATCATATAAGACTAAACAGTTTTAAACAACACATATAGCTAATTTAGTAAACTATATGATTAAGTATCATAGACAACTAGAGGAAATCTATTTTGTAGATCAGTCTCACTCCAATCCATTAATATCTGTTTCATCATCTTACCAGTGCTAGAAATGGACATTCGTCTCCTGAAACATCGAATAATTGTTTGCTAGAATTCTGAAATAGGATATTAATTTACAGTGAGTGCCTACTGTTTATTATTGATATACCCTATAATCAATGTGAACTAGAGTAAGTAGGTATAGTTAAATAAAACAATTCAGGCTACAAACAAATCCTTATAGAATACCACTGAAAAAGGTTATAATGTAGTGTTGGTCAGTTGTAAACACTAAGTAATCATCATTTTTTCTTGATGATGTTAGCGAAGTATTAATCTATGGGGTAAGATAATGAGAACTGAAATAAATATTAACGAATGTGAACATTATCGTATAGAAGCTCATATTTTCCGGAGGAATTTAAATACCACAAATCATACTACTACTTCAACTTCTAAAGAAAAGCGATTTAAAAATTATAACAAATTTGCAAATCTATGATGTCATATGACAACTTTTAGTTCAAATTTGTAGCTAGTTTGTGTACCACTGAAAAGTAAATTTCAGTGTTGTTATAAAGAAGAAATGAATAGGAATTTACGATTACTAGCAGAAGCGAAAATCTAAAACCTGATGAATGAGTGGATAATTATTGAGGATTGTGTAACTAAAATAACATGGAAATTACGATTTTCCGTTTCTGAAAAAGAAACGTAATCCAAGTCTCAATAAACTGAGGGAAATTTTGACTAATTCAACGTCCAAAGTTCAAAAAATATCTATCTGTAGTTCAGTGACAACAAAATATCTAGCAACTACACGAATAAGACAATTCCATTTCATTATCATTATTATTATTATTATTAGCTTTATTCAATATTATATTTTTGGTACAATATAGAATTCTCAGCACAAAGTATTTCAACAAGTTTCCGTTTCTTACTTCTTCGTCCTTCCTGACGATGAATATTGAGTGATCGCCAGTTAGAACTTAGCAGGATATATATATATATATAACCTCTAAGACTATCTTTTCAGTGTCTCATCAACTTAATCAAAGGCACCAACTGTTGACCAAGTTTTAGCTTTATTTTAGTCACATATTACTGGACATAGAGGCTGACACTTTCATTGCATTAAGATGTTCTGTATTCTGATATTTAAAAAGACGCCCACCTAAAGAGAATCTGATAATGATCCAATTAATTACTTTACTGTTTCTTAAATACATTCAGTATCTTTACTGATTATCATCAATTCAAAAATCTTCTTTACGAACGCTTGTTTGTAAAATACAGATTAATGTGTATCATTTGTCATTAGAATAATTACTATCTCATATTAATTAGAACTGTACTTTATGTGATAGTACGCTCAAAAGTAGAATGAATGGAGACGAAGAACTAATAGCAGAAGCCATCACTACTCAAAAGCATAGTCGTTAAAATTGTGGTTTTAGCAATGATGAAATTGTACTTGATCTCTCCTTAAATAAATACCGTAGTTTAAAATGATTCAGAGTTATTATAATTATCCCAACAATTTTAAAATTCTTCTATACAATAATTGCTTTCATTACTTTATAATAAAGGAAATTACTTATTAACTACTTCCTTTAAATTCGACTCAATCATATGTTTATGAAAATTAGCTCTAATCTAAATTTACAGACAAAAACAAATTGCCGGTAATTATCATGTAAAGTATTTTTTCTCACTTCCACTTCGTCTAATTTATTATATAAATTTAACTTTGAAAATTCTACTCCATTTAGTTAAAGGTTTGTGGTAACATGGAAATGAAGGTAAGTTTAGTTTAAAGCTAGTGTAAATTTATGTTTCTTTTTTTTCTTCCGATCTACCATTTATTTTATATGTAGTTACAGAAAATCTGTTATTATTTAATAGTAATGGCGCAAGACTAGTAGGTCCTGGGTTCGAATCTCGCGAGGCGGGATCGTGGTTGCGCACTGCTAAGGAGTCCCATAATAGGACAGAACGGCCATCCAGTGCTTCCAGGTTTTCCATAGTGGTCTAACTTCAATTGACTCATGATTTCAACTATGAAAGTACTGAAATCTCCACAAAACCCCTTCTGATAATAGTTTTTAGTTTGAAAACTGAATAGAAAGTATAAATTATTCTCTCGGTTGGGAACTGAATATTGTACAATAGTTTACGTCCTTAAAATAACCTTCATTTGTAGCCACCAAAAATGATTGTGTAAGCCGGTGAACTTTAGCTATAGAAATCTATATTGAATAAAATCAGTACAATCGATTCGTAAAAACATTATTAAATAAAACAACTATTTTAGGTATTAGTATACAGTTTAGTGTAAATCAAGAAAGGATATTTACAGAATAACTAAACTATCATCAAATAAATCCCAATGACATCTCGCGATTAACTATTTTTCCACAGAATTTTAAAATTAGCTGACCTTAGTAACCATTAGGAGCAATGGTAATAAATTGTATTGATAGATAACTAGTGGACTGTAATGACCTTGATGTCATGAATGCTTTTAATCTATTCTGAACCATGATATCATAACAACATTTGACATCCATAAAGTTAGAAGTCTGTTCACATTCATCAGTCTATCCAAATACTCACTCGTGTTTGTGAAAATGTCATACTTTGAAATTATTTATTAAAATATATATAGATCAGCAATTCAAATTAATAAATGCTCTCTTGATTTCATATCCGAATATTCTAAAACAAAAAATGACTTATCATTAGTCTACATGGCTTCTTCAAATAATGTCTTTCTGTAAAAGAATAATTTATTTCTGAAAAGCTTTCATTTGCTAATAATGTAATTACTAATTTGGCCAACGTAACCTTCACCTATGTAAATGGGAATAATGACTGAAATTAGAAAAATGCACTCGTAAGTTGATTGAAACAAGCAGTTGTAGAGTGATCTTATACTAATCAGAAGACGAAATATGGTTGCTATATGAGTTTCACTTCAGTCTCCAATAATATGGGTAATCGACTTATAGTGCGTTATTTTACCTTGATTAGTGGTAGACTCATATCACACTTCGTTTAACTGGTTCTAAGAAATGTAGTCTGTTTATTGAAGGTTACTCAGCTGATACAAATTACATTATATAGCATGAACCAGCACACTATCACTAAGATACATTTATTCAATGAAAGATAAGAAACAGTTTCTACTTATGTGATAATTAAGAGTATTTGAATTATAGTATAAACTAGTAATCCCAGAAACAACGCAGTTTAACCAAGAAGTATTAGATGATCACAAACGAATGTGTTGCATTTGGAATTCAAAATCAAGCAGTCATCAATACAAAAGAATCATTGGTTCATACTAACACCACAACTCACTGTAATTGTATTTCGGTTTGTAAACTCAAAGTTTTGGTATATTATCACTTGATATCTACTAAACCTTGAAACATATTGCTTTAGCACATCCTGAAAGGCATATAGACGTCTTAAATATAATAAAAGATTGGACCAGAATGAATAAATACAAGGTTTATTCGAATAGTCTCTGTATCTTGAAACCCGCATGGTAACATCTTACTAACGAAAATACGAAATCTACTTAACAATTCTCAGTACCTGATGAAGATTAATCCTACATAGTCAGTTTGAAATGTGAGCTTTCAACAAGTATTCTTTAAATCTTCAAGATGATAACTTCTGAATGATAGTAAACATGTAAAGAATTTAAGTTGAATAAAAATCTACGGTAAATACTTCCGTATACGATGACTTTATTTAGATTTTTATACGAAAGCTTTCTCATAAGTCAATAAAAAAGAATAATTTTATTTTACAAAGGTTTCAGTACAATGACTGCATGTGTATAGCATAAGTAGCTTGAGTACTTCTAAATGAACAAACTTTGTTAGCCATTTCTGTTCTAATTCCAATCATAATGTAAATATGTTGAGATAATCCATTTGCATTCAGTTCATTAATCACGTATTAAACTAAATACTTATAAGATTCATCCATTTACAGGTTCAAGTGATTCTTATTTTAGCCTTATCTTTCAAAATGGTGATGAATAGAGTGATTTTGGTTGGAGGTGACTGTAAACTAGATTGTTTAAAACGTAGTCTTATGTGTGATGATCGATGCAAAAGAATGCCTTTCCGTGGAGAGATATGCTACTTAGAATGCAGGGACACATTATCGGAATGTCTGGATAAACCATGTGCGAAATTTGCTGAGGACTATTATGGAAGATACAGTTAATCAACTGTCATTATTTCTTCTACAAAAAATACATATTCGTTCACTTTTTATATTTACGCTAATTCAGTGGTAAAAGAAATTTAATTCACAATATACAGCTAAACATTTTATCTTATCAAATACAGGATCGAAAAATAATTGAAATATTGATGTATCTTCTTTTTACTGAATAACACTACTTCATTTTACTCGTTGAAAAATGATAAGTATATTTGCTTTGGCTGGTAAAAGTGAATAATATAAAATCATTTAGATTGATTTTATCGAATGTGTGGTAAAAAGTATATAAGGTCTAAAAAGGAACCAACAAGCAATTACTCAATTTAATTGGAAATTACTCAGTAATTCTGCACCAATGCTTAAAACAGGGAATAAGCACCGAAAATATAAATAGTTCAAATCAGAGCTTTAAAAAAGCTAGCTTTTACTTCAATATCATAACAGAAATGCACAAAATGTAGAATTTTTTGTTTGGCATCAGTATGCATTTTGCATGATAATCATAAACTACCGAAAAGATAAACTATAGAATACGCGTAAACGCTATATATTTTCGAACTTTCTCATAATGGAACCCTGATAATAAGCGACTGATATTACTTCAGTAATAAAGTTAAAGATAAATTCATACTTTTCGGATCAATTATTCCATTCCCAACATTCTGAACTATTACAAATCAAATGATCGATGAATGTAAAGCTCATATCACACTGTACGCAGTGTTAGTTAGATAAAAAGCACATTTTATGATCATTCAAACGATTTTCAGATGATAAAACCTATAAGAAATCTCGTTAATCATAAACTCGGCAACTGAATGAAATGTTCCCAAGAAAGACAGTTATAAGTGCGATCCGCTGGTTAGATAATTATGTTTCTTCACTCTACCATGAGCATTAATTATATAGTCAACACCAGCTTAATCGATGATTAACACTAGGTCTCAAACTCGTTAATCTTAGAGTAACAATCTAGCCCATACAATGAGTTTCAGTATCTGTGTAATATGACTGTTTGTTGTGTGATGTTACAACGTTCAAACACCAAATCTTTTAAGTCAAACTAACCATCCCATTATAATTGAATCATCATTACAAGCAAATATATCCTTTCATCATCACGGAAATTCTGATTTCTTTTTTGTTTAAAATAGCTTGAATCATAAACAATAACTTGTTGAAATATTATAATTTAAAGACTTAATTACTGCCTTGGTAACAATTTATTTAAATTTCCTCACAAAATATTACGGCTTAGGAACAAAGTATAACCATAACTATTATGAGATTATGAAGAATGAACGTTCAGATAAATAATTTAGAATATGGGATTACTGAAAACAGTGTTTTCTTTTTATATATCCACCTGTGTTTCCCAGACCGCTTATCTACCACTTAAGTATGGATCAATCATTGTGTCACACAGTTATTCAGCTCTAAAGTTAAAAATAAAATAATATTTGGTCGCTGTAAGAATTCTTAAGCAAACTGTCTAAGCCAAAAGCTTTCATATATATATTCAAATTCACTTTATTCTGTCAAGATATGTCTTAGTTGAGCTAAAAGGGATTAAAGCGGAGGGAAGAATACTGTTTTTCATATCAATACTATCATATACTTTATAATTATTAGTACAACTTAACTAGAAATTAAGAAGGTCGACTGATAATTTGTTTCGGCCAGAAAGTTTCTGTTAGTGTTCACTTAAATTTATTGTCTTTCTATTAACTTTTGATAATCGTTGAAACTGAATTGAAAACAGGAAGAACAGAGATAAAAACTAACTAACAAAGATAAAAACTAATGACAGATAGTGATTTCATTCACCTTTCCAAAATAACACCACTACTTTAACCGAATCTACCAATTTATATTATTATCTACTGTCATTTAATGATTTTTCAATGAATGTCATATTTAAATAGGAATGGTGGAATGTAAGAATAGATTATACACTGAATTGATACAAATGAATGCTATACCACACACATATTTGATATAGAGTGCCATATAGAAGTAGACTATTGCAAAGGTCAGACGATGGCAATCAGAAGTGACTCAAAGGTCAAATGCATTTCATTGGGTCAATTTCCTAAAGATTAAGTGGTTTATATATATATGAGTATTTCTACATCTCATTCGGTAATTCAATATACACTTTTTTACTCACACTTGCGTTCTCGCCCAAGTGGTCAGTTGGGTGGTTAGCGTATAGCTCTTCGTGTATCAGTTTCATATTTCGGACATCACCCGTCACAAAAATATTATACTGAGAAAGAATCACATTTGATTAAAATATGACCTCATGATTTATCCAATCCGAACAAACAGAAGAGGAATGAACACAGTTTATGTTGATGATGATATAACATCATTATTACGGAAGACATTGAATTGTATTTTACTCCGATGCACTGAATTTAAACATAAAAATTCTGTGTACCGAAGAGAAAATCCTGAGCAGATTTATGTAATCTCATCAGAAATGTATTTTACATTAAGTCGGCTTGCAGTTACCAAAATATGTAGCAGTGTCACCAAAATGAACTCATGGAACGGCCGACAGTATTACTTACTAGTCCAAGTAAACTTTTAAATTTTTCTTTAAGTCCACACCTTTTATCAAACATATTACCGCGAGTTCAAAAGTCTTGGTAACACTGATAGACTTGTATAGGAAAATGTTGAAGTATGTAAAGAAACTGATTATGGATAATAAGTTCTGTGCAGTGACTTGGAAAGTCGCACAAAACACTGCGGAGGAGTGGTGCTGAATGGATGAATACAAGTAAAAGTTAAACAGAAGTTACGTGAATAATGCTTTCTTCAGCAGATACATTCTCTATTACTGCAACAAAATTGTGATGTCAAATGACTCTGAGTAAAAGGATCCCAAAAAGCAATGTTTAGTTAATTTCAACGCAAGAAAATCCATATCAGTTGGCAGGACACCATCAGTATCAACCTACGGTGGTTGTGAACAAATCAGCTTACAGATGATGAGGAAATCGAAAAAAAACTGAGAAGGTAGATAGGATACTCATCGAGGAAATCATGAAACTGCATCACAAGGTAAGCCCTAGCTTGTAATCCTGAAAGGAAACGGAAAAACGGAAGACCAAAGAGTACACGGCGTTGGGAATCGGAGGCAGTTATCAAAAGAATGAATAGTACGCAGAAACAACCTTAAGTGGGAGCCTAGAACAGAGTTAGATGGAGAATCCTGGTCGGCCGCCTATGATTAACGAGGGTTGATAGGCGTAAGTTAGCAAGTAAGTCACCAATCAAATAGCTTCAAAGTGAACAGATAACTGTCCAAAGTAATAAAACTTCCAAACAACCAGGAAAACAAGTGAGTATCCTGATGATGGTAAATACAGTCATTCAATCCGAACGAAGTCACTCACTATGACAGCCATCAGAAATCAAAGCGCTTAGTAGAATAAAAGTTAAAGAGTAACCAATAACTTCAGCAACATCAAGGAGATGGACGCAATCTAGTTATTGTAAACAATACAACGACTGAAAACAAACCAAAGGAGAGACAAAATATGCCTAAATACAAACATTAATGGAGTAAACAGTTCATACGAATATCACTAATCCAAATGATCTATGTGTATAGTTGCGGCCCATCGGCGTTGGGCGGTGATGATGTCACCTCCTGGCTTACATCGAAGCTACACTTCGCAGTTAATACCTGACGTGGGTTGACTTTTCGTGGTACCCAGGTACAGTTGCCACGTTAATGACTGTACAGAGCAGACATGACGTGGTTGCAAAAAATGTAGTGGTAAGAATTGTTTGGAGAAGCAGGGTACGGCCATCGCTACATATTCCATCCCAAAGCGTAAAGTCGGTTAACCTGCGTTGGTCATCCCCGACCATGACGACGTTCGATTGACTTTCAAATGATCAGTGGTCTTTCGTCTAACCTATGTATAGTTTAGCCTGATAGATTATTTGGTTAGAGATAATAACATTTCATTGACCCTACAATTATGTGGGAAAACAAGGGAGGGGACACAGGAAAAGATGCAGATATGGGGATTTTCTCACATACACTCACAGGAATATATAAGATAGATTCAACACTTGCTTATACTCAGTCTTCACGTTACTATATAGGTAGTTCTCCAGTGATTGGAAATATATAGTTTAGTCTGTAGACACAATCTAAAGATATCGATAGCATTCGATCAGCACTAAGAAGGACCTGACACGCATGAGATTGATCACCACCCAGTGATCAATCAGTTGTGATTACATCTCAGTCCTACAGGAGGTTGGTCGCGGCCCGAATAGCTCAGTGGTAACGTCTCTAACTGTGAAGCTGAGTGACGCGGGATCGAATCCGCCAGGGAGCATCAGTTCCCTCAGGATTACAGGTACACCTTGCTGACGAGTGCCAAGTAGCACGAAACCCGGGTCCAGGGTTTCCTGTTGACCACCTCCAACCACCATCTTACCTCAATATCGTTTCATTGTGTTTACTCACCGAACGACTGCGAATACAGTGGCAATTTCATAATCTTCCTCGACTTTATGATAAAACACCATGAGAGTTTCAAATGTTCTTCGCGACTATTTGTGTTTCCACACTGCGTGCTCACTGATTCAATGACTCTCTTTTTCTCTTGTTATTTTGGCTTCCTGGTTCTTTCACATACCGCTCCTTTTACTCCCCTGCACATAATATACTTTCAGGCTAGATGCAAGTCTAAAAAGGCCGAACGTTACGTACGTCATCTACTAATCATGGAACATAGGATCTTCTTGAGAAATTATTGCTCACTGACAGTGTTGTGAATATTTTGACCCTGGAAAGCATTTCAGTCCACTTTAGGGACAACAGAATCACCAGACATTTTGGTGTTGAGCTTCAGAGTTAGCATTATAAATTAGGACTGCAATGTAAGTGGTAAGTAAACAAACCCACTAACCCAAAGTGCTCTACAAGTCCATTTAGAAACAGTGTTCAGCTACGGAGTAATTTGAATGGGAGTAAACTATACTGAAAATGTTAGGAAGTTCAAATGACTCTGAATGCCATACTGTTCAATTATGGATGTGTTTCTTGTGATAGTAATGATCTATTTTAAATAACCATAAGTTACATGAGGCATGGCGATTCACAAGCAAGATCAAATTGTTACAGGTGTTGCACTACTCATATAGACAGACTCGTTTACCGATTTTTCTAGCATTTTATAACGAAAAGTTTCCTGTAGAAGCAAGATAATATGTCGGTGCGAAAATGAGTGATTGTTGGATTAAACCTGAACTGTGCACTTTATAAGATGA